CTCAGAAACTAAGTGAATTAGCTCAACATGTTGACTTTAGAGAAGACAGGGGCGTAGCTGAGGTAGGGCCTGAGGGGGCCTGGGCCCTACCATCAAAGTGGCCTTATAATTATATTCATTGAAATTATAACCCAAAAGATTATATTCATTGTTCTTACAATAACAAAAGGGGGTGGCTGATAACCATAGCTCTTTTTAAAGCTATATACAATGATAATTTCACTCTGATTTCGCTCAGCTTGCAGGAAAATGCCTCCATTTTGTTACGTAAAAGGGGGTGTGGCCAAAATCGCGGCGCGCTTCGCGCGCCATTTTGTTTCCTTGCCCTACCGTCACCCAAGGTCCAGCTACGCCCCTGAGAGAAGAGAGAACTGATGATGATAATGACAGAGAAGAAGGAAAGAAGAAACAAGAGGAGGAGGAGGGGGAGGGAATTTCTGGTCCTACAACTAAGAAACCAAGTCATCGCTGGCCATGGGAATTCATGTTGTAATATGTATGACATATGTGTACATGTAATTAGTAGGTTGTGTATTTTGTGTTAATTAGTTTTTACGTAAACATATGCTTTTAATTAATGTATGATCTCATGTTCCTATGGCCTTATGCCCTCTTTTGTGTAACGTACAATGAGCTGGACAGCTCTGTCCAGCTCATGAGGACTCACTTGTCTACTCCATATGGACCCTGTGTACAATAGTGTCCTTATTTCTTTGTTATGTTTTTGTATTTAAGTTCTGTAATCTTAGAGCAGTTTTATTCTCTTTTTGTTGTAAAAGTATCTTAACTTGATCTCTGCTAATCTTACTACATGCAGCAACTCTAGCTAATCGCTATTGTAGTGCTGATTCTCAATAATTCACACACTCAAAACTCAAGTACATAAATACAGGTATTTGTATAAACAAGAGTATAAATCATGTATCAATGTATTGCATGCATAAAGGATAGTTAAACTTTATTATTAGTTTTGTCTTAAAAGTTTATTGCAGGCAAGCATTGACTGAAGTTAGTGTACTGTCTGATGTTTTACAAATTGTTCATAATCATCATCAATACTTGTCACTGGATCCAGTTTATGTTAATAAGAAATACACATTACCTCCTTCATATCAATACCAAATTAAAAAGAAGGTTAGCCTCATGATATGTTACTTTACTCAGTTATGCATGCACAATACATGTACCTCAATATAGAAGATTATAAAGGCATAGTATTGGCCATAGTGTGAATGTACTATTTCTTTACCTGTATTGTGTTTAATATAATTAGGTACACAGATCAATAGCAGTTCTTTTAGTGAGCTTTGTCCGTATTAGATTGATCATTAATGAATATGTATTCATTGTGTATGTACTTGTACATTTTATAGTATCATGAGTTTTTCTGTAGGCACTTGATGTAGCTTCCAAGATATTAAGAAAAGGAGCTGAGCCATTCAAGAGATTATCCAGTCAAACTGATCACAAGTTTTACAGAGCATTATATGATTTAAGAAGAAGATGGATACTACGTAGAACAGCTAATGGAGTCAGTGGAGACCTCAGCTATAGATCAGGTAACTTAATTGGAATGAAGTATAACACACTCA